TCTGTATTTCAGATACACGACCGTCTAGCGTTTTATCCGGAAGTACATGGTATATCTTGTGTTTGTCCATTCAGACCTGTACACTCATACACTTATGTGATCCAATCAATTGGCTATATCGTTTCAGATATCTTAGTTTGCACAGCTCACAGTAATGGAACAAAAAATGTTTAGTATAACAGAAGTAAAAATATGGAGATGGGAACTCGTCAAAATGATTTTTTATGTGCCAATTTAATTGTCAATATTTATATGGAAGATTTCTGCTTAAACAAAAAAAACAAAACACTAACTTACTGTTCAAAAATAGAACAAAAATGATTTCGCCGATAAAAAAAAGTGTAAAAATTATAGAATTACCTAAAAAATATTATGTATAACAACTTAAAAAAAATATTATTTCAAGAATGAAATAATAATACGAAGGTGTATTGAAATTGTTAGTATTTTCAATGTTGGTTGATCCAAGTTTTAATTAACATTGGTTTATATTGTTAGTTTGTATTATGTAACTTAAGAATTAATATTATTTATAATTTTCATTAAATACAACTTTTTAAATAGATTTAACTTGGGATATTACTTCATGGAAGTAATTAATTTAACTATTATATACATTTATTGTGTTCACTTCGAAAATACGATGTATTATTTCATTAATATCTAATAACAGATCAAGAATTATATTGACTGTTGTAGCATTTTCTATAGATTATTACTTAAAAAATAATCCGTTAATATAACATCATTATTATACATTTAATAAGTACCTACAATGTACTTTTTTTATTTTAGGGACTCAAATTTGTCTCATACTATGATATTTTGTTATTGATATAAGTTCATATATCTGATGGTGAAGTTTAGTGTGTAATGATTTTAGAAAAATATTCGTTATATTTAATTTAACCAAATTTACAAATCACATCATGCCTGTGTTTAAAAATATATAAATTATACACTGTTTATACTTTATTACCCGTATACATTCATTTTTATTTATTTTAATCATATCATAATTATTTTCAATTAAAATTGTTAACATATTAACTAACAATTATTATACTACTTTCAAGTTAATCATACAGCTATATTTATTACGTGGATATTGTATTATATAATGACTTGTAAGACCCAAGAAGTTCTGAGTAACTAGATTCGAATGATACGCTTTTTATGGATTCTAAATGAAATAATAGATAGTTATTGGTTTAAAAAATATATGAATTGACTGCCAAAATGAATTATTTCTAATTGAATTATTATTATTCAGGAATCAATTACTGGTGGCCATTAGTAGCAAAATACTAATTGTTTAAAAATTTGTTTCGACTTAAAAATCGTTGAAATACAACTATAGTCAATTAAATTTTCTTTTTATATTTGGTTAACATAATTTAAGTTTCTGAATTGGTCTTAGTACTGGTTATGAGAAATATCATGTCGAATCCGGTCTTGTGAAAATTTACCGAGTACTGAAATGGAAATAATAATCGCTCCACCTATAGATTATCCATGTCATAATTAGAAATATAATAAATAGGCGTAAAATATGTATGATTAAGTTGTATATTTTATTATTTATTGTTACGAGTTTTATGTAATAGGGTTAACTAAGGGTTAGAAAAAAAATATCGAAAATAAATTGTAATTTGTCATCAACGTGAAAACAAGATTGTTTAAAAAGAACAATATTTTTATCTCGAATATCCAAATACCTAATTAAATATACTAGGAAGTATTTTCATCACGAAACTGATAATTTTAAACAAACTTCGTTTATTTACAATATTTGACGTCACGAACAATTTATTTTTCTGACCCAAGATTAGTCAGTAGTATACGTTTATTTGTAATGTTTTCCCTATACTTGATAAAACTGGGTAAAATAATTAGTATATATATATGTAGGGGAAAATATCCTTTTCCACACCCTTGTCTAATACCAGGTATTGTTGTTTACTGCTGAATTGTTTATTTAATTAATATGATTTAGATTGTAAACTCTCATTAATATTATATGAATTGTTCAACTATTATGGTTACCTATTTCATAAAACTAATGTGTTGTGGTTTAGTGTTTGCAGTAATACTAAATCCATAATCTTAAGTATTTGGAAATTGACGTCTATCTGAGTGACATACAAACGACCTTAAATAATATCGGCTTTGGCCCTTTTAAATGTATTACATTAAAATAAAGTGCCTATTTTAACTCTCGTATATTGCAACTGATTCTAAACTGTGCAATAGTGTGATGCGTACGAAATGTTCTCTGATGTGAGCTAATGTATTTAGCAGAAGTCATATTTATAACCCATGTATAATATTTACTTACCAAAGGGACAAATATTGGGTGAACATCGTTAGTCTCTCAATTATTGGGACCTCTGATATTGCAGTACAGCACGTAATGTTATAGTGTGCACTAACCAAAGACCTTCGGTGAGTTGTAATGAGTTAGTTTGAATGAGTAAATCTAATATCAGATCGATGGTTTATGAACATCCTAATATAGTTCTACGTTGTTATAATTAATTAATCTAGACTGAATCCATATGCTATCAAATATAATAGTAGTTATAATATGCTATTAGAGAAAATATAACAATGTTGCAACAATATTTACCATCGATCATTATTTATCATTACATGATGGTTTTGTGATTATTATACCACTATAAAAAGTTTGTTAGTTTTTACTTTCCAAAATTGCATTAAATATTTGTATACCAAAACCAAGGTATATAATGATAAAAATTATAAAGCGATGAGAATTTGTAAACATTTATCCTCTATACATTTTGTATTTTTGTTATTTTAAAGTAAGTAGCTAAATAACTCCCATAGTTTTTTTTTATTTATTTAAAAATACGGTTCAACTACCAGAGTTATTGGAGTTTACTGGCATAGTTTGAATATTATAATATGTACGTTTTGAATAACTTCTATTTATTAAAACTAAATTGGTTTCTCGTGAAACAAAAGTTAATTAAGTTTTTTATAATATTTAAAATCAGTATGATTCATGAATCCTGATTTAGTGTATCAAGTTAAATAAATTTATTGCTTTTACAATTATTTGAATGTTGGGCTATTTTCTTTAAAACCATTTCGAGGGTTCTTAAAACTATAATTTACACAATTGGAATGCTACACTTCCATATTTTTAAATACATAACTTCAAATTTAAATTGTACCCACGTTACTGCAGAATATGCAAAATGGGGTTGAGATAAATCATATTAGTTAGTATAATTCATATTGATGAATATTGTTTAACCACCATATATGGTAAAAGCTTACCATTATTATTGTTTTTAAGCCTAAAAATTAATTTTTTATTAAATAACCAATTCCAATTATAAGACGTTTAAAATATTTTTGTAGTGTTTTGCAACAAACATGACTTAAAAATGTATATTCAATTTAAAATATGACAAAGAGAGTGTTTGTATGTTATATTTGTGTTTATAAACTAATTTATATCTTTATAAAGACGTTTTTTTTCATTTTCGCTACCACATCCTTTAAAATTCTGTCATGCAAACACAGTTGTTACAGTTACATAATGTAATGAGAAATATATATTACTTGCATGTATGCTATTACCATACTCATTGTTGCTAATGCTTATCACTATTATATAGTCGTAAACGTTCCTCGAATAAGATGAAAGTATTCAAAACATAAACATTATTTGTAATGATTGAACAAGAATAAAAATCAGAAAGAATTTTAACGGGCATTTTCGATACCGTTATGTACGTGTTTGCGAAGTGGCATTTTGGTACTCATGATTTTCCAATTCTCTGATTAAAGGAGATTGAAGTAATGGAATTTGTTATTTTTTTCCGGGAAGCGATTTTATACTTATAAACACAGAACATAGATACACATATAAGTACACATAACACAAACACATACTCAAGTTTTTGTTTCAATTAAAATGTTACGCCTTCGGACAATAAATCTGAGTTAATTGCTTCCTTTTGTAAGGCCGTTGCTACTACAGCCACCGCTGCCATTGCTGACGATTTCGTTTGGAGAGTCCATTTACAATTTGAAACAATAGAAAATGAGAGGGGGCAGAGAAGGAGAGAGAGGGAGAGAGAGTGAGAGTGAGAGTGAAACAGCGAATGAGCGGTAGCCGACAGTGTAAAGTTTTCGATAAGTTCTGAGCTGGGTTTCAAAAATGTCTGACATTCTCTCGACCATCCGTTCGTTCATCCATACAGCTTTACTTTACCTCCACCAAACCACTATCGGTAGCTGGTACGGGGTAGAGGTAACGACACCCGTGGCCCCCTGTTCGCCACCATTGTAATATTTATTATTTGGACTCCGGAGCCAAGAACCGTAATAATAAATGGTTTTTCTGCCGTCCTACATTTACTTGGCAACCGGGAAAGATAAAGTTTGTTTTTCTTCCTTCCAGTACTCTCCGACCATTACCTATCTGCCGCTATAATCCTGGTTAGTCACACCGTCACCGGCGAAAATGTTTATTATTCTAACGTGTACATTTTCAAGTTTCATTACCGCATATCATGGCAAATATTAAGACATAACGTCACTAGACCCAGTCGTCTGGAGGGTTTTGATCTTAATTAAATGCAGATAAATAAGTATTTTTGCCATTGTTTGTATTTTATTGGCTTAGAGGAAAACTCAGGTAGACACATACGTAGGTGTATACGAATTTCCAATAGGACATTTTTGTTTTTAATTTTTTTCATTCTTTTAGTATAATATACCCAACTCTGTGCATATTTAATTGAAATTACAAAAAGATAAATCTATTAACGATCAATTCAAATAATATATTTTTTACTTGTGGTCGTAAAATTTTGGATTAATAACATAGGAATTTATGATTGAATTGCATTGCAATACGAACTCGCATTGTTATTATACAATTGAAAATATGAACCGGATACAATAATTATTATCAACATTTACATATATATTATTCAATGTACATTATATTTTATTTTCAGTAAAATGTTTTGGCCGTAAACCTTTATTGGATTGAAGACTTCAAACACTTTTAAGGTAAGTCATATGTATATCTATGTTAAATAGTATTAGTTAAATATCAGGGAACAATTATGAATACAACTAAGTAAAACTAAGAAACTTAATTTGATAGTTGAAACGTATAATGTTTTAATACTATTATAGAAGTAAATTCCAAATATAAATTGTAACAGTTAAAGTTACAATGACAAGTTATAAAATAAAATATTTTAAATGAAAATACGTACCATATTTTTCAAATGAAAAATATAATGATTGATTACATTTTTCAACTGAGAAACCTTATCGTTTACCACGTTAACGTCTTTATGTCAACCTCTTTCAACCTTTAAAAATTGATAATTATTTTTACGGTTGGAGCTAGGACACGAAGATTTTTAGATTAATTTATGAAAAATATTCTTAAATTACACTTGTTAAGTTTGTAATAATTATTAATAGTATGAATAAAAATATATCACAATATAATATTAAAAAGTCTAAATTATAACTTTTGTCGAAAGTACAAGATTTTTGCAAGGTTCTTTGTTTTTGTTTTTATTTTTTTTCCAAAATTTTATAAAATGTTGAAAATACTTAATATTTATTGTATAAAACTCTATCGGTAAAAAAATTGTATACATTAAGTACAACATTATATAAAGCAATTTATTTTTATAGTTATTTATGTTATTGAATAGTAGTGTACTGCTTTAAAACTATTGAATTTTATGTTATGAAAGTGTGAATTTCATTATTAACTACCTACATACATAATGACTTATGAAAAAAACTGTAATTATTTATTACATATCTATAGCTATTTGTGTAACTTGAATACGATTTATTTTTGAATGAAGCAGTTCATGAAAAATTAAAAATAGTTATTAGTTAATTCAATTTCCATGGATTAAATCTCTGTTTATAACAACGAAATGCTTTATCATTTTATCATATCAAAGGAATAGTATGGTTTGATTTTCTTTGAAACAAGTAAAGTACTATATATATATTATATAAATCCTTTCTTTTTTTCAAAATACTCAAACCATGAAATTAGATAAACAAAATACTTTTACAAAAGTTATCACAAAAACAACAAATTATTCTGTGGAGTTTAAGTAAAATGATTTATGAATATTATAAGTAGACAAGTTTTATTTTTAATTTTATGAACAATTTACTTATTCCAAACTTGAGATACTAATAATCAATTTTTAACATAAGTTATATGTACCTATGTTAGTATTCATAATTTATTCAATTATTAGGTATAGTTAGTTTGTATACCATTTTAAAATAAAATGTACAATATCTATTCAATATTGATGTCACATTTTAATTTACTTCGTGTTATTAAATCATAATAATAATTGACGAACGTTCTTAAGTACTCCACGCATCTTCGTACACCTACTAAAAACCATCGTACAATCGTTAATTAACGTCTTGGTGATTTGTTTGAGGTAGACCAGTTCGGTCTTTGTACCCTAAGTTGTCACCTTTCTATTTTATTTATGGGTGTTTTCTGTCAAACAAGTCTTGTGCTAATGGTGGTTCGACAATTATTTTCAACCATACTAAATAAATTTACTTCAACTGGACTATTCTTTAAAATCGAGTAACACGTGAGGAATAATATTAATATTAATATAATTAGTGTGATCGTATATAATTATGCTTTATAAATAAATAAAATCATTTTGATTTTTCCTAAATTTTAAATTTTAATATTAACTGATGATACCGTTAATAATATATTTGTTTATAAAGATGCATTATATTAAATTCAAACTTTAAATGTAGGATAATACAACTAACTCTTACAGTATTATCTCTGATTATTTTTTTTTCCGTGACATTATTATGAATATCTCAATAATTTTTTAAAACTATAGAAAAATTGTAGATTTGAGTTATAAGTTATAACTATCGTTATAATCATATAAATAATGAACTTAAGTTAAATAAATATACTTATTTATCTGTACACAAAAATGTTTCTGAATATTCTTATGGAAAAAAGTTGGCACCTGACATTAACGTAATTATCACGTTCAACCACTCCGTAGAGATTTTAAAGGTATCTTGAGTCTTACTTTCATACTTTTAACTTTCAAGATACAATCCACTTTTTATTATCAAATCCAGTTTTAATTTATACGAGTTTAGAGCTCAGTAAATTAACAATATTGTTAAAAAATTAAATGGAAACAGAGATGATTATCTGATTATTTTAATAAAAAAATATTTATTTTAAGCTAGAACACGATTGAGCAGGTTTGAAAGCTTATAGTTTTATGTGACATTGACAAACATTCTCACGTATACACTATAACTCCACTGTACACCTTTTATGTTAGTAGACACTTATAAATAATGATTATTAGCGTAAATTTATGATTGTATATAATAATATGATAATTTATTATTTAGGACTTTTATTAACTATATTTCCATTTAAGGTATAATAAAACAAACATATTCTTTTGATTTAAATTTGATATACCAATAATATAAAATTAAATTTCAAAATATTATACAAAAGATAAAACTATTGTACGCACAAATGTTTTAGTCTATTTTTATAGTCTATTTTTATAGTCTACATTTATTCGTTATTTATTTAAATACGATTGTGACAACTTCTTTCAAATTAATATGTTTAGTTTATTAGTATTTAGATGATAATGTGTTTAACATATTATTTTATTTTAATTTTTAATTTTATATATGTCACCGGTAATATAGGTATTTTGAAAAATGCCTATGCATTATGAATACTGCCGACTCATTTTAGGCAATGTAAATAAAACATATGATTTTCAATATTATTTTATATATAACCTAGGTATTTTATAAAATACCTAGGCTTTATGTAAAATACTAATTTTTTTTTTAGGCGAAGCACAAAACAATTTATCATAATATGTTATAATATTATATTAAGATTCTAATAATTATTATACATTATTACTCATATTACAAAATTTATTTTTTATCTATTATTATATTTTTATACATAGGTATTGCTATATAATGAATATTATTGTTATATTAAGTACTATTATTGATACATTTTACTTAAACTACCAGCTAATTATTGCAACATGTTGTAGAAAAATGGTATTTTGAAGTGGACAAAACATTATTTTTAAGGGAAATGCACTTTTTATTTTGACACTTGTCTTACAAACACATTTTAAAAATCCTTGGCCAGTTTCTGTCAACTGTTCCTTTGCGACTGTTCGTAACGCCACTTCTATGCCTGTTGGAACCTCGTAATTTGTAGTAGTTTTTTCTGACATACTGACTTCTGGCGTAGAACTGCTTCAGAACTTTAATCTTTATTGCATCAAATCGTGCACACACGGACACGGTACGCGCATTTACGATAAACTATGAGTAAAGTCGTTGGTAATTGGCGAAACCCGATTTTGTTTATTTTTATCATATTTCTTACTCCACGTTGAGCATTATGCATAATGCCTAGGCAAAGATCGTACTATGTATATTTCCGAGTGATTTTTGGCATTTTATATGACGCCTAGGTATTTTGGAAAATATCGGATTATCCATATTGCCGATAACATATACATTGTAACTTATTATGCATTGAATTACTAAAAAATATAATTTTTTTTCTTTTTGTTTATTTGATTTTGTTTCTCAACATAAGTATAGAACATTGTGCCGATGAACATCCGTCCATCCGTTAGTTATCTGCAATTGCATAGTTACGATTATTCATGTTATTATTTGTAATTATTTATTGTCCGAAGTTAGTACTATACCTAGTAAGTTGCTTCTAATAACGATTGCTTATATTAAGATTGTTCAACTGTTCTATTCAACGTGAATTGTTTTTTGGTACCCAAATATAAAGGTTACAAAATAATTTTTAAATATTGTAAATGGAATTATAATTAATTGCGTTATATTGAAACACTTTTAGAAATCGGGAGTTTAGCACGCTCGCAGTGTTCTTTCCTTAATTATTTGTTCATGTTTTCAATTTATTGTTAAATTATATTTTACAGTTATTAATAATCATTTATTTTAATTGTATTAGTTATAAATATCAATTAAATCATCATTACAAAGTGAAACCGTAGAACTATTTAAGTATTTTTTTGGTTATTGCAGACGTTTTTAGTATAAGAAAATATATTTATAACATATGCTATCTAAATATATATATATTTTTTTTATTTTGGAAAAAATATTTTTCAGAATTGTATAATATTTTATTGGGTATTTATAATGTCATTCAAATACTTGACTCATGAACCTTACGTTTTTGTTCTTAAATATACACTGAGACATATTTTATTTATGAATAAGACTTACTTTTTAAATTCCTTGTTATTTGACTTTTGGTATGGTAACCTTGTATGCATATTAAGTTGAAAATATTTATTTTTTAAATACTCAATTTTTTTAAGACTAATTTTTCTATTTTAGTTATTGAACATGTGCATTATGAACCTAAAAACCATATTACAACCTATAATATAATATTAAAGGAGAATTTGTACCTAAAAAAAAAAATGCTGTTATCGAATCATATAAAATGTAATAAGACACGGCTCTACCGTTATTATCGTTTCCATGACATTCGTGAAATCAAGTTTTTATGTTCTACACTCCACAATCAAAACGTTGAGCACGTACAATGATACGTTTGGCTCGATCAGCAATCAAATGGGATTTCCCTATCCAACGGTTGACGCTGTCGGACCTTATGATAAAACGACATATATCCCTCTGGTCCTTTGGTCATAAAGACTTAATAACTTGCGGGTTTCAAACATATATTTTCTACGAGATAATAGCCTTCAAATGCGTCTAAATCCTAAAAGCACCACTTCGATCACCCCTTTCTCCTTCCATTCTGTAAGCATGGCCGTTTTCACAGTGAGCGTTTTATTTGTCCTGAATAGCCAATTTTTAGTCCTAACACAAACAGCCTACAAAATGGAAACAGTGCATTATATATGGTTAGAGAACGGCAGGGGTCGCTTAAAATAGCAATGGAAGATTTTTCTCGAGCACAAATCGGGTCATCAATCATGTGTCAACATTGCCCAATGTTTCAATGCTTAGATTTAGGTGTATAGATTCCCCTCTAGCGGCTTAAAATCGTTGGATAAAATGGTTTTGTCGATTAAACAAAAATAAAAATAAAT